TTCCTTGCTTACCCCGCCCCCCCCCCGATAACTATTTGCTGGAGATAAGAAAATTGTTTTGCTTATTTTCCTTTGCAAAAAAATCTTTATCCCCAAGGAAATTAATTAGCTGTTTTAATGTAACTAGTTACTAACCAAAAGCAGAATTTTGATGCTTGTACCTTTACTGAAGTGTGTCTGCACTGCAAGAAAACTCAGTTGCCTTTGTGGGAAATCCCAGAATCTGGCATTACAGGGAAGTTTTTTAAAAATTGCCTGGAAAATATATGTAACAATGGTTTGAGAGAAGTTAAAAATGGGAGAAAATCTCTGTTTTAATAGTGAAAGATGTGACTTGCATGCAAAAGGTCCTATGTTCAATATCTGGTTTCTTCAATTAAAAGTTTGTGGGAAAAGAACTCTTTCCAAAACCTTGGGATTTTGTTGGCAGCCAGCCAGACAATAACTGGGCAGGATGGACCGATGATCTGACCCAATATAAAGTACAGTTTCCTGTCTGTGGCTGATCAAACTGAACAATAAGTGAGCAGAGTTTGAAAAATTTGGCTGTGTACTTTTAATAGTGCTGCTGGTGAAATTCCAGGTCCTTACTGCTCTGCTAGACTGCTTCTGTGATGTAGGCAAGTCTTTTCAATCAAGGATCAGCAAATTTACAAAAATATATTCATCCATAAAACAGTGCTTACTCATGTTTGATACTTCTGTTGCTTCATTTTCATTGTTTGGCTACTGAGAGGGTAATATAATGTTTTATGTATGAAAGAATAAACTTAACATAGAACTCATCCATTCTGTTTGGGTAATGGTTCAGAAGGGGCAAAATATAACTCTTGCAGAGATCATTGTAGAAAATACAGTATACTGTATGGTCTCAAATGTCCTCTGATTCGTAATGGCAAATATGCTCACCTAATGGGTTTTAGAGTATTTACCCTGGCAGAAGTACAGAAGAGAGAATTATACCTAGCCCTAAAAACATTCTGTTCCCAATCTGGGGAACATGTACTGTATATTTACATAATTTTCAGGTTCCACAGTAAATTTTGGAGCCCATACTCTGTTACTTTGTGAGATCCTGTTAATCTCATTCTGAAACTCCATGCCATTTAGCCTTTGGGGGGGGGGGAATTGTTTAGCCTCAGTAGATATAAGGAATTCTCTCAAAAGTCCATTTGACATTAATTATTATGCAACTGTTATTTTCTAGCTCAAGAGGCAGTCATCTGCCAGACCTAAAAATAATAAATTTATGTGTAAAAACTGGCTCTTAATTTGATAACTGATCATCTGCCTCCAAGCCCTCATTTCAGTTTTAGGCACCCCAGTCTTCAATATAAGTGAGCATTAGATCCACAACTATGGGCAGTGTGAATGGGCCGAATTTTTTTGCACTAAGTCTACTATGTTGTTCTTTGCATATATTCCCACTTGGGCCCCATATAAAATTTGGGTCAAGGATCTCTCAAAAGCTGCTGTTATTTGTTCTCCTTCTTTGGTAAAAAAAAAAAAAAAAAATCCTCTTGATTGCCTTTGAAGTTTTTAATATTGTCTGGATAACGTGCTCATGGTGTGTTTTTCAAGTCCCCATAGAATGGTACACTATTCCCAAATCTTTAAATGTATGGGTATATTCTATTATATTTCCTTCAATAATAACCTAAGAAATTTTTGCCAAAGAATACATTGTTCATTCAGTGCTTCATATGTGAATGTGTCTAATATTCTTTCTTCTCTGTCTCCCAATGACCTGAGACTTATCTCTTTCTTTCTGTCACAGGATAACTTCCCCAAATCAAAGTCAGTGCCTTATCCTGGCTGGGTTTATGTCATCATTGTAATCCTCGCAGGAGTGCCTAGCTTGGTAATTCCTGGCTATGCCATCTACAAGGGCATCCGAAATTACTTTAAGAAAGAAGATCCTGGAAAGCAAGATTTGGTCAATGCTGTATCAGAAATATCAATAAATGGAGAGCTGAAGAATACAGCATAGCTGGATCTCCCAAGACTTGACACACAAAGACTTTCAGTTGAGGGATGGGAAAATGTGGATGTCTCCCTGCTTTGATCAGAGTGGTTTCAGAGCCTAAATGGGAACTAATATAGTCTCATTCTAGCAGCGTTTGCTGTTTCAGGAAATGGTTAATACAGATGTCAAAGATATACCTGAGATACTGTTTTCTGAGCACCATCATGTTGCACAGAGATACAACCAGTTTTATGTTCAAATAATATATTATTAAACAAATTATACTTGCAAAAGGAAGTGCATGTTTCATTCTTTTTTTAAAAATTCTGTGGAAAATTCAGAAACAGCTTTGTCTCTTTCAGCTGAAAAAGAACTGAACAAAGTCTAGCTAGAGGCATGCCCAAAGTGGGCCAATGCAAACCTACATTCAGGGTCTTTGGAAGTAGCCTTCTCTTTGCCATGCCTGTGTTTTGAATTGCTTGTGTTCCTATGCTAACCATAGCTCCCTTAAACACCATGAGATGGAAGTATGATTACAAGTAGATTTGCAAACTATTATTGAAAGCAACCAAAAGTCTTTGTGCAATTTTATTATGGGATAAGATTATGACATCACACTTAGGTTATTCTGCAAAGTTTCACACATTTCGGTTGGTTCCCCCCCCCCCTTTCTGCAACATAGCTACTCCTTCTTAGGTTGTTCCTGCAACACCTGAATATATTTCAAACAGGTGAACCTGTAACTCAACTATGGTGAACACCATCAAAGGAATGATAGGGGATATGTGCTCTGAATTCTGGAGAGAGGGGGAGGAAAAGGATAAATACTTTCCATGTAGCTTCCAAAGATCTTAGAGACCCAGGACTTCTCCTTTTATTATTCAGATTAGGACAGCTATCTTAGGTGGCTGATACCAGAAAAGGGATAATAATTATGATTTCTGGAAGATAGAACTGTATGAGCTAGTGCTGCATCCCTTAAGCCAGCCTGCATGGTAGAAGGGAAGCAACCTGTGTCAGACTACAATTCAATTGCTCATGCAATTGTTTATTTGTCTGAGTATGTAGGTACTGCTTTATGTACTTACTTTGAGTAAGTGAGTGACTGAGTGGGCTATGGTGGTCCTGTTGCAAAAGTGTTGAATTTGTGCGAAGAGAGCAAACTCAAAGACACGACCTTTGGCCATTTACTATTTGTTAACAGCCTAATCCACCTTCAAGGGTTTGCTGTGATGATAAAACGGGGTAATCTTATCCGGTGCTCTAACTATTTGGTGAAAAGGGTGGCACGCATATTTAATTAACAACAATGGACAGACAAAACCAGTTACTACATTATATGGGGAAGTAATACATACCTGCTGATGAAATGAAATAACAAAGTGGTATAGATTTGCTATACACGAAGAATTCCTCTATGTCCTCTATGTCCTCTAGAGAGACAACCCTGCAGGATCTCTGCTCATGTAGACAAGCTGTACATTATACCAAAAGATAGCTATATACAAAATGCTTCTTCAACTTCCGGAGAAGAAATGGCAAACTGAAGATGGCTCTGCAAAAAGCAGAGCCGACAACCACAGTGGAATGAAGAGCCGGCAAGTAGACCCACTCTTTGTAATTCCTCTCTGGACAAGGAGAGGATTTGAGATTGCCCACAAGTCTCCCAGATGGTTCCTCCTCACGAGGAGACCACAAGACAGCAGTCTCCAGTGGGTTTAGAGTTGTGGGAGATGAGGGAATAGCCATCTTGCTCAAACTGTGGTTGGTGCCTTTGAAAGGACACTGTGTTTGCATACTTCCTTTTCTAATCACTTTTGGAAATAGCTTATTAACTGTTTTTCAGCTGTTAGGAACCCTTGGATTGACAAGTTTTACAGTACCAGGTGAGTTTCCTTCAATCCTTAGTGAAAGAAGTTTTAAATACAAGTTTAAGGTCTTAATTTTTTTTTTTATGAAATAAACAGCAAAAAGGGGATTAAAACTTTGATTTTAGAAAGTTACAAACAGATTAAGGGTCCTGATAAATTTGAAATAAGATCCTTCCCATGGGAAAATGCTTTTGTTTTGAATTCTTTTAAAAAAACATAAGATGAAATTTTAAGAGAAAGAAATAAGTTACTAAAATTGTTTATACTTGTTGCGATGAAGGGGAAGTCACTTCTTTATATATTTCTTTTCTTTTTCTTTACTACATTCTTATTTTTCTTTCTTTTCTATTTTTCTTTCTGTTTTTCTTTCTATTTTTTCTCTTTTTTTCTTTTCTGCACCTTCTATTTTTTCTTTTTATTCTTTTATATTTTTTAGTTTGTATTAGTTTGTATTGTAAATTATAATCTTTAATAAAACTACTATTAAAAATGCTTCTTCATAAGGTTGGCCAAATGTGTGAATTGCAGGATGGCATGGTGGGTGGGTATGTTGGCAGTATGGTATGAAAAGAACCTTTGTGGCCCAAAGCCCTCCTTAGTGCGTTCTTTCAATTTCTAGGGGTCACCTGAACACCCCTTTAGTGTTGACAGTTGGGGTTGAGCAGTAGAAGAGTCAAATACCAAAAAGGAATCCTGACAGATATCTTTATTAGGGAAATGCTTGCATGGAAATTAAATATTCACATTTAGAGAGTGTGTTTGTGTGTGCATGCACATATCTACTAAATTAAGACAAACACAGGAAAGATATGTATATATTTGAATCAATCGTGCAATTATAAAACCTTGAAAACATCTTTATCACATTATGCTGGTCTTCAGTTGCTTTATGAAAATGTATTAACTTATCCATAGTCCACGTAAGGCTTAAAAATCTATTTGCCATTTAATCAGTTTAAAGTGATCCTTAGAAAGGAGCCCAGGAGCTTTAGTTATCTCTGTGTGCCCAAACATTCCTGATGTTTTGTGTGTACATAAGTTGCTAAGTAGTCTGTCTTGGATTCCTTTGCTGTGATGTCAGAGATGGAAAGTTCCACATCCATTGTTCAGAATTTGTCGGGCAAATAATGTTGTTCAAGGACCACTCTGCTACTTACCTCAGATAAAGAGGTAATAAAGGAAAAATAAGGTGGTGAAGATGTCAAAAGTGTCTCTTGATGGTAAAATCACTGAAGATGACAAAAGGCCACAGTGGGATAATAAAATCCAATACCTTTTAAGTTGCATTGGATTTGCTGTAGGCTTTGGAAATGTATGGCGTTTTCCATACTTGTGCCAAACTTATGGAGGAGGTAAGAGAACATTAGAAAATTACAGTAGATTTAAGATATTTCCACTTATTCTTCCACTGTGTTTTCATGCGTCTTTCTTTCAAGCTTCTTCACTAAAAAGCCAAATCCATCATTTTAGCCCAATGGATTATAATAATGCAATTGCAAATTAGTCTCTGAAGTCTTACGATGAATCCTCCAAGATTACAAGGCATTGGAGACTAGTCAGTTAAGTATAAGAATGCAAGGTATAACAATCAAGAACTGCCTGATTTCATGTTAGCTGAGGAGAGATAGTGAATAAAAGTTCATTTGAGGAAGGGAAAAATATAATAGTCCCATCTATTCCCTGCTCTTTCATTGCTTTGACGGCAGGCTGCTTAACCATTCCTTGCAGCCTTCAACCAGCTGGGAACTGGATATATGTGGTTGTCTGCTGTTTCCTTGGGATTTGTATATATTCCTTTTCCATTTTCTTTGTGTGAATGTTAGGATGTTTGTAGAGGGTGAGGGATGTCTCTGGAGAGCAGAGGCAGTTGGAGAATAGTGGAGGCAGCCCAATTCAGATGACTACCACCCCTTCTTCCTTTCATCAGATACTTGGTGGCACAGATTTTCTCCCTCCTTCCTGGATGTTGCTGCTAAATATCAAAGCTGTTCACAGATAAGATATTTCTAATCTGTGACTTGATTATAGATGAGGGGATGTACCTGTTATCTGTTACTTAAGATCCTGGTAAGCAAGTTTCATGGTATAGATCTAATCTAGCTTTTCTAAGTACAGCACCCACCCAGGTAGGTGTGTTGGGGAGGCAGGGCAGGGGAATTACTGTGATCTACGGGAATACCAACTCACTCCTCAGAAACTATTCTTAAACTGGGTTGGCTTTAAGGGCCAGGTCTTTATCTAGTATTGGGTCAACATGATATACTGGGATACTTCTGGACAAAGTTAGTTAAGGTGTTCTTGGGTATGAGATAGGAAAATTGAGGGAGATGGTCCTGTGACCTTCAACATTTATGCTGAGGATGGCTTATGAGAGCCAGTTTGAACCTTCATGGGCTCCATGACAGCCGTGCTTCTGTTTCAAGCTGTATTGGACTAACATAAAAGGTGGGGCATGATCTGGATTTAGCTTTTGCTTCAGGTCATGAAGGATAGTTTGTCTGTTGCAGTTTTACTATGTTGCCAGTTTCTAAAACAACTCAGATGGTTGGAGGTTTATAGTCACTCTTTTGATATGGTCAGGGCATCATCCAATGGAGTTTATTTTCATGATGTCCTCCCTCCCCTCATCTGCGGGAGTTGGGGGCTATTAACCCTGGGATTTATGGGATCTGATGGATTCCTGAATGGATTTTATGGAGGCTTTGTTGATCTATGGAAATAAAAAAACCTTCATGGTTGATTCTAACAGTTAATGCCCATTTCTCTGGCATTATGAAGCCCAGGCTTCTTGATAGTCTTTTGGGGAGCTCCAGACTATGAAATGGAAAAGGGGACAGCTAGAATAGAAGTAGTGTTAACCAGACATGAACAACTGTATAGCAATGAAGATCATAAAGACTTAATTTGTGGCCTCCATTCCAGCCCCACGGAGCTATCAGGCCAAGCACTCTATAGTTGTCAAGAGCTAACAGGTAGTCCTCATTTAGCAACTACCTCGTTAAGTGACAATTTGCAAATATGAAGGTAATAAATAGTAGTAAACTAGTAAAAAAAATAATTTTCCAACCAATGTGTGTACTTATGCTCAAATTTCTGCACCTAGAAACAACACATGCTGGAGTAAGAGTAACACTGGCATTGCTGCATGATAGAACTTTATGTAAAAGAGGCAGCAGCAACCAGCGATCTTTGCAGCATCTTTCTGTCACATGGTTTGATTAGCAACTGTGTTGCTTAGCAACCATTTCATTGGAACCAATTGTGGTTGCTAAATGAGGACTACCTGTATTGTCATCAGCCCTGGGAAATCTGAAGTTGGACCTCTCAAAGAACTGCTATGACAGATTTGCAAGATACTTTAAGGATAAAATCATTTCCTGTATGATGACCTGAATGCTACTTTTGGTGTAGTACTTATCAAGAGGTTCAGTGTGTCAACCTGTCTAATTGTATGGATTTGCTTCCCTTTCTGGACAATTAAAAATGTGTAGCTGGTTGTCCACATTGCCTAGTTGTCCTGCTTACAAAAAGGGCTATCAACCAATTTCGGAAGTGAGGAATGGATAACATTGCTGTATACTCACCACCTCCTCTGATCACAGATGTGACCTTTTGGCGTATCTTCCTGCTGCTAGTTTGGTGTAATGATTAAGATGCTGGTCTAGAAATCAAGAGACTATGAATTCTAGTCCTTACTTCGGCATAGAACCTGGCTGAGTGACTTTGGACTGATAGTCCTCTCTTAGCTCAACCCACTTCATAAGGTTGTTGCAGGGAAAAATAGAAGGAGGGAGGATTAGGTATGCCACCTTGAGTTATATAAAATAAAGGTGGGATATAAATATATAAATCATTCCAATGTCTCCCCAAATTAGTTAGTCTTCCTTTAATTTTGAAACTATATCTCAAGACATTAGATGAACACAAATCTGGAGTCTGCTGCTCATGTTAAATATCTGCTTCTGGCAACTCACAAAGAGCAATTAACCCCAAATACTCCCTGGAAAGGAATGCCAGAAGCCATCTCTAGTAGAGCATGGTGTTCTGTTTTTCTTATGAGTACATAGTATATGCATTACATTCATTAATGTTCTAAGCCCTCTTTGAGGCTTCTAGATGAAAAGTGAAGTAGAACACTACCATATTAATGAATTTAGAATTCTTTACTGTCACAAAGTTCTTCAAAACCACAAGTATCTTCTGATATCTAACACCCAAAAGTTCCACAAAGTTGTAGCACAGTTAATGCTACTTGTAGGTCTGGCTTCTGCTGATTCTGAAGACAGGGCAACATTCTCCATTGGAAAAAGAATGAAACAACAGTTGTTTACTTAGAATCCTATGTGAATTCTACCCAATTCTCATTAATGATCTCACATCCTTAGCATTTGCTTTAGCTCAGTAGAGTATTACATAAACATCCACTCTACTCTTTGCTTTGCTCTTCTAGTTTTGATAAGCAGTCATATTTCAAGGGCCAAATATTCTCTTATGCTTGCTGATGAGTCAGTACCAAAGGGGGTGCAAATGTTTTATTTAAGATAGATTTGGTTATTTATTTACTCACAGACAAATAAAGGTCTAAATATTGACGGATATATTAGCATTTCAAAGCTTTCTGTTAGACATAACAAGCGTCTTATGTCTGTGGAATTTATTATTTATTTATTTAACTTCTAAGCTGACCAACTTCAGAACAATTCTGTGTGTGTGGGGGGGGGGTATGTAAGTGTGTGTGTATCTAAAGTAACTATCTTCCAAATCATAACCACTTTAAAAGGATCTAAAAACTCTACCCCAAGGCCTGGGGAAAAAACCTAGGTTTTTAAGGATTACTTGAAGGTGGGCAATGTGAAGCCTGTACAGATCTCTGGGGAATGCTGTTCCAAAAGACAGGTGCTGTAACAGAGAACGCCTGCTTCCTGAATTAAATAAATAAATAAAAATGTCATTAAAGATAAATGTCATAAAGGTGACATTATTTAATTGACAGAACCTGAAGCAAGCCAACTTTGTTAAAAAATACAGGATAGGCAGTTGCTGTGGAAGATAAGCTGTCCTTCAAATAGATAGACCCTTTGCCTTTGACAGCTTTATAGCTAATGATCAGTACCTTGAATTGCACCTGGAAGCACATTGGCAACCAGTAAAGCTCATGTAGAAGAGGTGTTACCTGAGCAGAGAGGCTTGCCTAATGCTGTTCATGTTGCCACATTCAGGATCAGCAGAAGCTTCTGGATGATCTTCAATGATGGCTTTATATAGAGTGCATGGCAATAGTCCACCTGGGAGGTGACCAAGGCACGAATGATAATGAGTAGGTCCTATCAGTCCAGGAGCAGGTGCAAATGGTGGACAAGTGGAACTTGCACAAAGGCTTTCCTAGCCATAACTGCCACCTGCTCCTTGAGCAGGAGCAACAAATCTAGCACCAGTCCCAATGGGGGCAGTGCAACCACATTCAGGACCAAAAATGGAAAGTCCCCAGATCTGGGAGGACCAAGTACCCACAGCTACTTAGTCTTGCTAGTGATGAACTTAAGCCTGTTCCTCCCCATTCAGACCCCAATCGCCTCCAGGCACTGGGACCAGAGCTTGACAGCATTGCTTGGTTGGCCAGGGATTGAGACATGCAGCTCAGTATCATCAGCATACTGATACCTGACCCTGAATGACATCCCCCAGCAGATGATACCTACTAGAACCAGCTGTGGAGAAAGGAGAACCACCATAACACTATGTCCTTCACACTCCAGCAGCCAATTCAGAAGGATACCATGGATGATGGTATCAGTAGCTTCAGGGCCAGGCCAGTACAGGACAGTTGCACCACCCCTATCCCAGCTCCATCACAGGTCTTCCACGTGTGACCAATTCTGTCTCAGTACTATATCCAGACCCAAAACTTAACTGAAATATGTCCAGGTAACCCATTTCTTCCAGGGTCCTCTATAACTACTCAACCACCTTCTCAACCTCTCCACAAAAGAGGAGGTTGGAGGCTGGACAAAAATTGTTTAGGATGGTTGGGGCCAGCAATGGCCTCTTATGTAGGGGGTATACCACCACCTCCTTCAAGGCTGGCAGAAGCAGTCCCTCTCTCAAAGGCATTACCACAGGGACCCAACCACAAGTCACATCCCAAGCAGTTCTCACAAGCCAGGAGGGACAATGATCTAATAGAGAGGTGGTTAATGCTGTGAGGATCCTGTCATGTCCACTTCCCCAGGACCAAGCAAGATTGTGCCCCTGTCACCTAAGCCAGACTGGCCCAGTCACTAACTTCGAGCAATCTAAATGACTTTGTCCACTAGATGTCTAGAATATTCTTCACAGTGGACCAATTAATGGT